AATGCATATTGGAAAGCCTCTCGACACCATGTAGCCACAATCAACCCAAGAAGCAGACCATGCTCACTAGCAACATCAAGGCTGTCTTCTGACCAGACCTTCAACCAGGAATTCAGGGTGATGATCACCTTGGGAGCAGTGTCTCGACTGGTACAAACGATCCATCTCGACATGGGTACTGTTCCACTGTGAGGAGACGTCAGCGTACATAAATCACAAAAGCACACCGAGTAATCACGCGACAGTCAACACCGCTAGGATGGGACGAAACAATCAAGAGTTCCATTCTTTGAGAGCTAGACCTAGCCGCCCAATCCCGGAAAACCCAGATCCCGCCGTTCACCAAAAAAACAAAAAAAACCAGAGGGAGGTAATTTCTCTTATTCCTTTTTTTCTTTGATTTTGGTTTCAATTCCTCTGCTCTTTCTCATGTCCTAAAGACAAAGTGCTCTGAAGCCGATCGTATAGGTAGGCGATATCAGCGAGCCGAGCATCACCAAGGTTCCTCGTTTCTAACTGCGCGTCCTGTCCTCCGCGAGAGTTGCCAAACAGCCAAGCTCATGCTGACTCTTCCAGTTCGCAAACACACAATCAATGTGTCGTATGTATTCAGTGTTCATGTGACACGAATATCCATAATCTTTTCGTCGTCTTCGTCAACCCCAAAACTAATTAAACAGGTGTTGGTGTGAAGCGCGCAAAAAGGGGCGCGGAGTGTGATGGCTGACGAGGTGAAGCTCGCCCAGCGCCAGATGATGTAATTCCCCACGGCGTGTTGAAGTGGGGAGATGCAGATGTGTGAACAAAAAGCAAAAGGGGGTATGTGCAAAATGTGGTATACGCATGAATGGGAAAGAATCGAAGTGTGTCTGTGGGGAGGTGGTGTTGTCAGGCCAGCCCATTCCAACCTGTCGTCGACACCACCGCGTTGCCTTGGTCTCAACCAGACCGATGCTTGGGGAAAGCCGAACAAAGATTGTGGTAAGGGCTCAGATTCTCCGAACCAGGTACCAAGACGAGACCAAACAGGCAGAGGCGGGGAGATGACACGACAGTCCCCAAGATAGCCAGCCGGCCCAAGTAGTAGTGAGTCGAAACGTGTTGATGACCAAATATGTCGGGGTATCCTCCAGTAGAGCCTTGATCGTAATGCAAAGTGGTGCCCAAGGCCACAATGATTGCCCTTCGCGCGAGGGCGTTATTTACCGTTCCAATGCCAGGAACGCCGAACCCATGTAGTGTAGAACCGCCGTGCCATGACAAATGCCAGAGAATGGCGATGCATGACCCAGAGCGCGCCGGCTCGGTCAAGGAAGTCATGACACGGTATCCTTGGTTCAGCCAACCCAGCCAACCCAGCCAACCAGTCCGAATCCAATGAAAATAGGAGACATGTTTTCTCATCGGTCAAACAGACCGATCGCACAGCGCAGACCTTCCATCCCCCAACGCCGTGCTATGCAAAAAAAGGTATTATACAGAACCCAGGCGCAACAGAGCCTCGACCGCCTCACGCTCCTGCGCGTCAGACGGGCCCTGGAGCGCTGTGAAGTCGAAGGGCATGGGCTGGAGTGAGCGTGCCATGCCAGTCGAGACAGTTCGCATTCCTCCCGAGTTATATACACCGGTGGAGAGGAAGCTGCGTCCAGCAGACTGTGCGGTTGCGCCGGCTGTGTTGTAAGACTCGGCGCGCAGAGCGGCAGCTCCAACGGCAGCCCAATCCTCGTCATCGGTGGCGTCCTCGGGATCATCATTCATAGCGATGTCATCGTCATCCGGAGCCTCGGAGCACGAGGCGGAGGCCGAGCCATCCAGGGACATCTTATCCGCTTCGCATTCCATCATCATGGCGTCGCGGTCGTCGTGAGAGAAGACGATGGAATCTCCAGCGCTGGACGAGGCGACGTTCAGGCGAGACCTATCGGCGCCGCGTCCACTGGTCTTGTTGATGGGAATGCCAGATCGGTAGTCAGTAGGGGGTGTAGACCCGCGCGCGGCCTGACCACGTCGTCGGGCATCCCATCGACCCCAGCCCACCTTTTCAAATTCCACATCGCCATCCGGTCCGCCGCCCTCGCCTCCGCGACCCTCCAAGGCACCAACGACCAGGCGACGCGCCTTTGTCGGCGGGATTCCTGCGAAGCCCGGAACAGACGTTGTCAGGTAGCCCATGATGTGACGGATAGCCAGAGGGCCGTGGTTGAGGAGGATCTCGGGGAGGTGGTGCTTGGCCAGCAGGGTGGTGCTGATAGCACCGGTGGCATCGTAGGAGGGTGACCGCGAAGCTTGCCTGCGACCAGTCGGGTCGTCGTGCAGGTCGAGGTCCGAGTCGATGGGCTCGAGCCTGGCCTTCTGAAGCTGGGCCTTGAGGCCGTGAGGCGGGAGGGCGGGAGAGATGGAGTTGGGAGGAGTAGGGAGGGGGTGAGATCGTGTCACAGTCGTCGCAGGAACACTCCGAGCCGCTACAACAGTCAAGTTGTCTCGGCTCATGTTGGAGGCCTGGTGGATATCGCAAGCAGCAGCTGCCATGGTCGCCATGATGTCGTTTAGACGTGTCTGGTGCTTCTAGACGTGTCTGTAAGCGATCGATGGTTAGCTACAGGTGCTGAGTAGAGGAATAGTGATGAGACTAGTAGAGTATGTGGGAGGAATCCCACGATGAGAAGTGGTGGTGTTGAGTCACCAAGGTGGGAGAGGGAGGAGGAGGATGTGACGCAGTTCAGTGCGGTGCTGTGCGGTAGGATAGGGTTTACTATTGACGTACTGCTAGAAGCGGAAGAGATGCGATGCAAGTGTGGAACTGTGCAGGTAGGCTCAGTTCGACGGGTCGACTAGTAGACTTGTTGGCAGATCAGGCTGGCGTTGCTGTGGCTGTTGCGATTATCGTGACTGTGACAAGAGAATCTCGTCAGTATTGGGTTGTGGTTCTTCGTGATGTTGTATTTGCGTTGAAGAAGAGAAGAGAGGAAAAGGAAAGGGAGGGTGAGATGAGTGCGACGGCCAGGGCTAAAGTAAAAGGGACCGTGGTGGTGGACGGATACGGAGATGGGATGGGATGGATGGGAGTGACAGACAGACTCATACCTAACTGTTGAATGACTGAGAGCGACACACACACACACACACACACACACACACCAGACATACGCGGTACCTCCATCATTTGGTGTCGGCTCTCTCACCTTGTTCCTCTTTGCTGGGCTGAGGAAGTGTGTGTATGTGTTTTGTGTGTAGGAGAAAGGGAGGTACATGGGGTACATTGCAAGACCTGGGGCATGTCAAGAGACGGCGACCGGGGGTCAGGAGGTACCCACGGTACCGGACGGATGCAACCCAGGATCCAAGGTATCCGCAGTCAACTGCGGTACATCCATGTACCTCGCTCTCTCTCCTACTTCCTCGGTATCTACTCCGTACCTCTCATGCTGGTGACTCCTCCATGCTTTCTGTGGCGGGCCAGTCTCCTTTGGTACAAGGCAAAGAGCCCCAGAGAGCCAGTACAAAGGGAGAGGAGAAGGAGAATGACTGACGGATAGACAGAGAGCATGTTGATGCAGTGCAGCTTGGCTTTGGCAAGCCCGGGTGCTTTCTCCAGCAACATGCAGCCAAACCTGACGCCCGTACCGAACTCAACCGCCTGCAGAAGACAAAGGCCCGTGGCGGCGAAAGGAAGGGAAGGCGATGGATGGATGGCCGGATCATGGATGGATGAGCACCTGGCACCCTCCAGTCTCAAGCACCAAAGAGCAAGACCAAGGCAAAAAGGTAAGACAAGGCCCGACAATGCAACATCAACTACAGCGACAACAGGAAAGGAGCAAGGAGACGGACGCCGCTGGCGTTGGCGCAGGTGAAGGACGGATGGACCATTAGGCAATGAGCAAGAACAACACCACTTGGATACACACCCTGGGGGTGGCAAGTTGCGGCCACGGGTGTCAAGTCTTGGTCACCAGGTGTCAACTGACGGTATCTGAGTGTGGATGGTGTATGTGTGTGTGTGTGTGTGTGTGTGTGTGTGTGTGTGTGTGTGTGTGTGTGTCTGAAGGACGAGGTATGTGTGGCTGGGTCGCTGATACCAAAATAAGGAATCCCCGGCTGCGAGAGGAGATGGGAAACCGGCAAGGAGAGAGAAAGAGGGGTGTTGCTATCCTCCTACTTTCTCTCACACTCCCACCTTCACCTTGTTGCAGTCCGCAGAGGCATCTTGTACACAGTGTGTCGCACACTTCGTGCACCTCGTACCTCATGCCTCCAAACCTGTGCTTCCGTATCTTCCCTTCCCATTTGATTCCATTTCCCCTGGGTCTGAGTAGGAGTCATCGCCCTTGCTGATGACGGGCCAGGCAGATGAGGAGTTGAAGAGACTACCTGCCACCTTCTTACGGTCTAGAGACACTTGCCTCGTCCGCCTTGACCTTATCATCGAGAGATCCTTATCAACCTTTGATCTGATACTCTTTCATGATCCTACCTGCCGACCTTAACGTCCAGCGCTGGGTAAGGGGAGAGAACTCTCAACTTCCCCAGTGGTCCTACCTAGACTCTATGACCTTTTGATCCAACTGATTGCTTTTCCTTTGATCAAAGTACCTTTGCAGATACGATACCCAATTTCAACGACGGATACTCATACAGCTTCAACGCACACCGCACACAAACCGCAAACTGGAACCCATCAAAAAGGAAAATACCCACTCATCGACAGCTCTAAACTCCATCCTAGACCTCCAAACAATCCACATGAACGGAGCTTGGGCGGGCTCCATCTCGTTGTCCCGTTCCTGTCCCCGAGCTTGACCGCCGAACCAGCCATCGATGCGAATACCTCGAGATACAGAGGTTCACACCTTCAAGGTCCAAGGTCCCATGCGATCCATATCCATGAATGATTTGAAGCGTCCGCGACACAGCAGTTCCGCGACGGACCCAGAAGACACGTCCCCCCATGCGTTGGCGCCGCTCACTTTGGTCTTCTTTCTTCTCAAGTTCCCATACCCATGCCCCATGCCGAACCCGAAGCTACTGAAACGAAGTTCCCACCTCGTTGTCTTCCCCGGACTGCCGATAGGGTCGGCCGGTAAGTGTGATGATCCAAGGCCTGGGAGAAAAGGCCCCAGAGGCCCCAGGGCCAAGGGTAGGGGAAGGGGGACAGCAACCCGTGGCCTTCCGGAATTGCAGTCAAGCCCACGCACTTGATCCCCGGCCTAGCCCATAACGCGCTTCTCCATTCGGAGTCCATTCCAATAACCAACTGTTCGACCTTCAGTGTCCAGACCACTCTCCACCTTAGACAGGTCCATAATAAGCTTGATACAAGGATCGAGAAACGACGGTGAAAACGAAGAGAGTACGGACACCCGATCATCGTGTCAAACGCCGCACTATCGAGAGGTTATGCCAGGAGCCAAGAGTCAAGCAGATGATGGATTGCCAGTCACAAGTTACAACAAACCCGCAGCGCAAGGCGAGCAGCAAAGTCACCGATTCCCTGCCAGCCTCAGGGCATCAATGTCGACGAAACAGACACACAACAACGCACACAGGTCATTAAGCTCTCGAAGTTGCCTTCTCCCGCCCCTTCCACTCACCCCATGAGCCAAGCCAAGGTCCAAGGGCTGCTTCTAGATGCGCATCAAACTCGCGTCGCCGGCGCCCGCGTCAACCACAACATCACCGTCAAGCCCACCGCGCATAGTGTATCCCAACCGGTGATCCCGTCCTATGGCACACTGGGCACGGTAAAATGGAAACCTTCGTCTCGGGTACAGCGTGCAGCCTAAGAGCTTACCAATCTGTCGGGGATCTCTCTCACTCTTTTACTTGTCTGTCACTTCTGTCACGGTACCTTATTTTTGAGGTACGGTGTCGAAAGGCTCAGCCATGAAACTTTGCTTCCAAGTTGTCCCTGTTTCCATTTCCGTTTATCCCGTCTCATTCCTATCCATTCCTATCCATGGCATCCAAGCCCCCTTGGAGATCCACCCTCGATAACACGAACTCCGACTCATGGCATTTTGACTCTTTGCCCTTTCCTCTTCCCCCCTTCATTCACACACAATCAGGAGGTTGTGGTGATAGGGTTCGAGAACCCCAATCGCGATCTCTGCTCCCTCCCACACCGCACACACAGTTTGACATATATCCATATCTCATTATCGTCAAGCTTTGTCAACCTCTGATTCATTACCCGTTCCGTACCCGCTAATAAACCCACCCGCTTCCTTTGTCCGGATCCCGTGCCAATGCCATTGCCCCCTGTCAAACCCCCCATGTATCCGTACCCATGTCCCATCCATGTCTGAAGTCTTTCCCGCCAGCAAGCCGCTAGGAGACGCGACCACGGGACCGGTGTCCACTGAAGCAACTGCAGCTTTGCAGGCAAGCACCAAAGCACTGCCATGGTTGGCTCGCTGGAGAGCTGTGGGAGTGTGCTTCTTCCTGCTGCTGCTAATGCTGCTGCTATCCCAGACGAAAACAGCAGAAACGGACGGACGGGGTTTGAAATGGATACCTCGGCGGCCGTCAAGTTTGCTTTGCTGCTACTGATGCTGCGGGAGACTGGAGAATGCGACAGTGTCGTCATCAATCGCAAACCCGCAGCTTCGCTCTCTCAGTCCATTTCTTTCCTAGTGCGATGTACTCTCAGCCCAGCAACCAGCAACGTGCGACCATACCAACACAGACCGGGGGCCTTGTCAAAACAACCAGGGGCCAGAGTGCTAGAGAGGGCCCTTCATCACCGCACAGAACACAGAAACACACACACACATTTTCATGTTGTATTTTTTTGTCGCCATCATCCCCCTATTTTCGGACGTTGCAATTTTGATTTTGGCGTAGGAGATTCCCAAAGCTTTCTGGCGCTTTGGTCAATCGCAGTGATCGAGATGCTTCGAAAAAGAAAGCCAGAGAAAACTCTTCCCTTTGGCGAGATTGACATTCCTCTTTACCCTGGAGCGCCTCTTATTCCCTTGACCTTAATACCCCCTTTTCCCGGACGGCGCCGTGGAGATGGCGGAATGGAAGTCTTGATGGAATCTGAATAGAACCCATCCCATGTCTCCATGCCTTCATGGTCAGAGAAAGTGCAAGGGGGCGTGTAAGTCAAACCGAGCCTTTGGCAACGCGCAATTTCGTGCAGATTTCCAGCAGCAGCAGCCTGAGCAATGACAGGTTCGAAATGTCTGGTTCCTGTTTTTCTTCATGCTCTCCCCCTAATTATTTCTGGGTGGTTACGAATGTTAATGAGCATCCGTATGCCGGCGGGACGATCCAGACCGGATATGTCTGAGACACGCGCTCACTCAACTTCCAAGAAAGGAACAAGACGAGGACTCAACCGTCATCGTCCATTTTTCTGGCCTCCTTTCCTTGGATGAGATCGAGACAAGGAAGCTAGTCTCAAGCAAACCATCTCACAACTAAGAAGACGTATCGTATATCACGGGCTACTCTCTTACAGAGAGGCCTTAGTCCGACGTCGCCGACGCGACGACGTGTCCTCTTACACCAGGTCTAAAACCGTCGCGTTAGAGATGATCGACACTCCAGACCTGACTAAACCTGCGTCCCAAAGTCACAACCACGAGCTTTCAGCTGGAAAATCGCCGGTTCAACGCACTGCCCCTACCCCTTCGCTCATCTTTCTTCTCAATGCAATTCCTTTTCTTCGAATATCGTACCGAACATCTATTTTACTTTTGACCTCGCACACTGCGCCATTCCGAAGAAATGGGCGCCAAGACTACAACCATCAACCAGTGACCACGCACAGAGTCCACCAGCAATGGCTTCGTGACGGGTAAAGCAACTGGAAACTGGACCGTCTTGGACCAATGGGTGGGGTGTCTCTATCAACCAGCTGCTCTTGAGTCTGAGTAGCTGCTTTGTACCCCACGGTACAGCTGAAATCCATCCCATCCCGCGCCTCTCTCTTTCGCCCTGCTCGCCCTGCCCTGTGGCTCTGACCAACTCCACATCAAAGATACACAAAACCCAACTTCTGCAATTTTGGACACTGTGGTGGTCGCAGGTGCAGCTGCCTTATCTGTAATCCGCTATCATCTTCCAGATTGGTGACCATCAACCGCCAGAATGGAACATCGCGATGCGTGGGCTTATCTCTCAAGGCGCGCCTCAACTTCTGATCTGTTAGGTATTGACCATGAACCCCATAGACCCGGCCGAACCGCGTCCGCGTCGGCTGAGGCGCCTATCCTATTCGTATAAGGATACCTTATTCGGCATCTCTGAGAAGGTAATCCGTATCCGTGTAATGGCACATCGCAGTGAATTCCCCCTCATCCCATCTTCGCCTTCCCCCCTCCCCGGATTTTCCTTGGCCCCAATGACCTCAAGCAAAAGCCACCCGTGGTTCTAGGCTTCTACTTGTACCCAAGGTAACACCTGCATTTTTTTCCGCTTTCCCGTACCGGCGTGGGTAGGTCCTGCGTACGCCTTGCCCTCTTTCGCGATGGGCGGCATGCTGACGACCTTCTTCAGCAATCGCCGCACCCTCCGTGTTCTGTACTCGATCGAATCCGTCCATGTGCTTTTTGCCTCGCTCTGCTTTGCTTTCCGCCTTGACTTCTTGCAGCTGGCCCAGAATCAAATCAAATCAAATCAATCGCATCTCACCTGGTCTGATTTTCAACTTTCACGCCCCCTAATGGCCGCTCTATACCCAAGAGCAGCGGTCCAACCAACCAAATTCACCAGGTAATACAGAATATGACATACCTAATAGAGGATTCCATATGATATCTATAAACGATTTCAACCCCCTCTTTTTCTTCCTTCATCCACCCTCATGCAAAGGTGATGTGCTGATATGCCATGCGGCATGCATCCGGGCAACATTCCCGCACCGCCGTAATCACTTCGTTGGCGCGGATTCGGCGTTTCGGAAAAGGCCTTACTCAACCTGCAGTCGGACGTACCGCATACGGAGGTGTCAAGACCACAAAATGTAGTGACATCCGAATAGAGAGTAGGTATCGTGGGGTTCAACAGAAATCTCGTAGTGTTGACTCTGTACCTGGCTACGCTACCTTTACTCCCCCTCAGAGGAATACGTGCAATGGTTATGTGGCTGGCTGCATCAAGCTTTCAGCTACAAGCCTGGAATGGAATAAGACCATGTTCATCTTTTGACGCAAAAAAGGTTCAGGTCTCTTTCTCTCTCTCCTCTCTCCCCCGGAATTCGCGCAACTTGCTTGCCCAACCAACTCTCTCGTGCGCAACCATCACGTTGCGCCCAGGCCATGATCTGATTGGTCATGGTGCTCATTTGTGATCTGCGTGCAAAGAATCACTCACGCCCCTCCGGATGAACCCTCTCTAGGGCAACGCTTTCTATCTAAGTACGTTTCTGAGCGACCCAGAATGCAAGGAACATTTCAACAACAAATACCCGTTTCTAGATTTGTATACTTCACGGTACATCTCGTCTCGTCGATGTGGGCACTTTGATGCTTCTCAACCCGCAACTATACAACTCTACCTTACACAGTATTCACATTGAGGTAGTTACGTCAATGTTCGTCGTCGAATCAGGCTCCTCCATCGTGAGCCCGTGGTCTGTCACTGTCATCCACTTACGAAACCCCACGTTGTGACATGCTGCATCGTCGAGGCTTCGGGCTCTAAGAAAGCCCTCTTAGCCTTCCCAGGGCGGGCTCTCGTTTCCCACAAGACCAGACACCCCCTCCCTCCTCCTCCCGATGGCCGGTGTGCCCATCTTTTGTTCCTAATCCTCCCTCGGGAAGTCCTGTGGGGTTATTCAATCCCGCGTCGCCGCAATGTGCCTCCTCTGTTTACGCAACCTCTCTCAGCTTCCAATGATCCTAGGGAAATCCTCCGCCTTTGGGCCGATTTCTGCCCGGGTTGCCCCCTCCTTCGCGCGGGCGGCACACCCACCACTGCACCTTGCAGTAGCCGCCTCACCCCGCTTCTTGTCCAAGATATCACGGCGGGGTCCATCACACCCCTCCGCGCTCATGATTACTGCGCCTTTCCCGACCTCTTCCGTTTTGCCTTGCTCTTAGTCCCGAACGGCCGGTCGACCAAAGGCACCGGTGTGCGTGCTGATCTGACCTTAGCCGCCATGAGACGATGATGGAATTTGTAGATATGTCGCGCAGCTTGTTCGGAGCTAGCCAACGTGGAATAGCCAACGGCGCCGATTCTCGGAACGAGGTGGTCTCTCCAAACGCACCAGTCGTCACACCCACGCTTGAATTCCTGTGGGCCACCATCGATAAGGAAACCTCGCCCCGTGGTCCTTGTTTGTGTATGGAGCCATGCTACCGCGACGACGATGTTTGGGATTATCCCACTTCATTTTGATACTTTCGCGTCTCGCATACTACGAAAGGGCTGAGCCCTTATTTGCTATCACGAACATCGAATTGCCGGGCTCACTCGCGAATCGACATGTATTCGCGACACGCCTAGTAAAGTCAGCGCGTGTAAGCGTGTTAGTGATGGAACTCCGACTTACTGCCTTGAGAACGTTGAGCCGTTCTTGCGAGTCCCGGAATACTTGTCGATATTGGCCTAGACTTTCCCGCAGGACTGCCTCCTTGGTCATGCGCCCGTCGCAGATTGCCTTCATCTTGTTCTCCATCTCTTTCCGCAAGAATGGCTTGCCCAGACTAGTTTCGAATTCCATGCGATCGAATCCCGTGATGAGTGCCACACCGAGCTGGGTCGGGATGAAGACCTTGAGCCCTCTCCGTCCCGCCGACGACGCGCCGCGACCCCCTCTGCCACCGCGACC